TCTTTTTAAATTCATACCTTTTGAACCACTGGGCCAATTAAAGATCATAATATTTAATGAAAGGTATTAAACATACTTTTGATTGAATTTTGACTTTGTATTGAAAAACATTATGTTTTAATCACAAAACATAAAAAAAATCAGTGATGTGTTATTTTTTTTAATTAAATTGTTTTGAAGTTATCAAGTTTTGAATTTTTGCTCAATACGAGGCTCAATACTCCTATGTGACTAGACTACCATGCGTCTCCATTAATTTATAGCGACTGTAACATATTGTCACATTGTTCTTCGTGTTTGACAGCTTGCTGGTTGACATCGTACAGACGAGCGATAAAAGTGTCTGGGGCTCAGATCATGAAGTTCTATAGAGTCAACCAGGTATAAAGCTTCAGTCATTTAATATCTGAACGCACTGTTTATGTTGCTGCAGTGCTCCTAGCGGTCGGATCTGGAATGTTTTGAAAGCAGTTTGTTTTGAAATGTTTCCTCTTTAGTGCTGAAAAGTTCGTCACGATTCATTTTGTTTAAAAGAAGTTATACTTGATGGAAGCCGCGAACCGAAAAGTTAATTTTAGACAATTATCGACAGTGTTCAATGTTCTCAAACGTTTCCGGCATGCTATCGATCGGCAGGATCAACGCAAGTGTCGTACATGGATAGAAATCTCCTTTATATCTTTTGGCAAATTTCTATTGCTGATTTTTCATAAAATGTATGAGTCAACTAATAAGCAGACGCCTTGCAAAAAGTTAATGAAGATCATGTGTCAAATGAAATGTATAAGCGGTCACACATACCTTTTATGCATTATTATAGGACCTATGCGGTTTGTCTTATGGAATGTATAAGGCTGATGTTTTGGCAAAAATGTATAAGTGATAAACACGAATAAAATAATTGATTTTCGTTTCGTGTAGTGGAACTAACGATCGGAAGCTGCATTTGAAGGTATTGAGAACGGTTAGGGCAAACCCAAGGCTGTCGGGTTATGATATCGCCAAGAAATTCATTGCCAGCCAAAGCACCGTCAGAAAAATTCGTCAGCGAGAAGGATTTCGATCTTGTTGGGCCAATAAGCAATCAAACAGGGCCCTGAAGCAGAATCTAGTGGATTATGATGGATTATTGGCAACTTCGCGTACAAAAGTTCTATAAAGCCACTGGTCGAGGTGATGTCCCTAGCAAGTTCAAATTCGTTTTTGCCGATAAATTTGTAAGAAAGCTTATGATCTGGCAAGACATTTGCAGCAGCGGATAAAAAAAACCCAAGTTTTCGTGACAAACAAGACTATGAATTCAAAAATTTACATGTCTGAAAAAACGTATTCTTCCGTACATTAAGGCTCACAATGGTCCTGTAAAGTTTTGGCCTGATTTGGCAAGCTGCCACTACAGCGGAGAAGTTCTACAGTGGTTTCGAGACAACGGGGTAGATCTCTTTGAAAAGGACATCAATCCACCCAACGCCCTCAATTCCGCCCAATTCAGAAATATTGAGCAATTGTCAAACAGAAGTTGAAGAAGAGTTGAAAGGTGACTGAGATGAAGAGATGGTGGAACAAAACGGCCGCTCAGGTTAGCCAACAGAGTCACAGTGGTTTAAAAGTGAAAATTCGTGAATTGTATCCTGATGTTTGTGTACATTTTAGTCATTTGACGTGTTTCAATGATTTTCATAATTGTCTGTTCTGCAACTTTTGGAATATTCACCTTAAATTTTTGTTAAGGTGCAACTGTACTTCAGGAACCTAACTTTCCATTACAACAAATAGAGAGTAGATATACATAAAAAAGTTATAGAAAATATTATTTCAAGAAACTTTGCTCAAGACATCAAGTTGCCATGACTTCAATTTGCCGAGATATAGGATATTCTTTGACAGTTGTACATTAAAATTAGTTTTTAAAGTTTTTATATACTTTAATCACGTTGTATCTCTTAGGTATGTTCTGCGAAGGTTTAGAAAATAGTATAATAAGCGACTTTGCTGAAAACACTAAAGTGTTATGTTTACATTTGTGAGAGCTATAGCAATTTATAAGCCAAAAATTACCCCTTTTCAATACGCTATAACTAAGCAAACTGCAAACCGCTGCAGATCTTAATTTTTCTGCAAAGATCATATGTATCCGTTAGTATCCTGGGGAATGCGGTGGTTTTTAGTAAACAAAGAATTTTGATTTATGAATTTCAGTATTTTATGAAATATTAAGAGTCAAAGATTGCAATCAATTTGAAGATTAATTGGTATGTAGCAACCATTTTAATATTTTAAAAGTTTCCAATATTATGTCCAATGAGTCTGGATTTGGTTTTCACAGGGAAGTTACGGCTTTTTAAATTAAATGTTTATTTTATTATTCTTAGTGTGTTTTAATATATACAAAGACTAAGAAGCATATAGTCAACACTCCACAAATCGAAATCCATTAATTCGGTTGCATGTTATAGAATCATAGTAAAAATTAATTTCATGGCTACTGTGATGATGATTTTCTATGGGATTGTGTCACTATAAATTTGATAATTAACACGAAAGTCTCTTCAATATCGAGTTGTAGAGAGTTCACTGTAGATCACTTTGATTTAAGGACCAGTGAAGATCATAGCAACCTACACATTTTATATTAAAATTAAAAACACAATCGTACAGCTTGTATTCGGCTGCTTAATAACTTACAGAGCACAAGTGAGAGTTCCCAAAGTAGATCCGATTATTAAATTGCAATAAAAAGTAATCGAAAATGTCTAATTACTCTTCAGGTATTTATTATTATCTTTTTAATATTGATTGGAAATTGTGAAACATTTCTTCAAACTTTTTTTTTATCGCACTTGCTCAGTTGAAATTGATAAGCATAGGTTGTTTAAAATATGGAAGGAAACCCAAGGGACTGAGGCAGACAAAGTTAAGAAGATGAGTCAAGAAGTGTATGTATGTATGTATCATTTCAATGTTCCAATTGGCCAGCTTTCCGAAGAGGCTCAGGAATCTAGAAATAAAGATCTCAAGCGATATCGTCGAGATCATACAAGAAAATGCTCAAGTATGATCTTGAACCTTGACTTGATTCGTCGTTTGCTTGTATCATCACCCACTAATCTCCAGTATGCGACAAAATCCCAAAAAGGAGACAAAAACGTTGTCTCAATATGCAAAGTTCCCTCCCCTTGGCTAGTTTTTAACCTGGTAGGCGGGCCTAATCTTATGCTTCATAGTGGAGCGTTGGAGACGGTTGGTTTAGGTTCGGCATCGTTGGTTCATGCCGTGACAGAATAGCGTCATGAGCATGCGATGAGGATTACTGAGCTTCCCCTCTCTGATGAACCATTGCATAAGAGAACCAAAGTTCTAGCCTGAAGTGATAGTATCACACTTGTTACTCCTTTATTTGAAAGCCGCGTTGTAGTACGCTTACGTATAGGCACTGACGTTGGGTGCGATACTGGTGGGTTTTGCCGCAAATCACTCTTATTTTATTTATTTTTACGCAGATAGATTTATTTGGGTTTGCAAGGGAATTATACTATTGAAATATTTCAGAATGTGCCCAACGGTGCTCCTTCTATTTGCGTGACAAGCTTTCATTGTTGTTTTCATTGAAGCATTACTCAGGGAACAATATTAAACACCACCATGGTATTGTAACTAATCTTATATATGCTTCATTTTGGTTTGGGATAAGTGTTTGAACTATGGCTCGGGATTTCCACTGTGGCGTGCTTCTATTGTGATATATCCATACGTAATTTTGTGGGACGACATAGTGGAAACGTGTGAGTGTAGTTGGAGCATATACCTTATATAATTTAAAAAATCAGCTAGGAAACTAATTTCAAAGTGAAGCATTTTAGTCACTTGAAGGTGTCACCTGGGTCGATCTAAGATATAATAAATATAGATCAAAGTCGAAATTACTTGAAACACGTTAAATTTTAGATTACATAGCAGTTTAGGTACTTGATTAAAGCATGGGTTATGATTGATTAGCTAAATTAGAGATTTCAATTATTTATTAAATTAGACTAATGAGATATCATAATCATCAAACGAACTTAAATAAGAAAATTTAGACAGCCTAATAACATTAAGTAGATTAACAAAAGAGTTAGGATGCGGGGGGTCCGCTTAGGGAGGCAACTAGCCTTTTCATATATTGTCTGTTTATTTTGATGGTTGCTTTAAAATATCAATTTGGTATATATGTAAAAGGATGAATCAGTGGGAGATGGATTTTCGGTTTCTTTACATTTTGCAACACAAATCTAGTACTATGTGTCATTTCCTCAAAACCCCCCAATAACCGACCTCTTCAATCCCTTCCTTTTCCCATGGCGTTCAAGTGGTCCGCATAGACTATTCAGCCATTACCCTTCCTTTATCCTCGGCTTTGGATTGACTTGCGCTCCTACCAAACGCTGCAAAATGAAAATGAAAATGAAAAACGTTGTCTCAATATGCAAAGTTCTTATTGAACATGGACAGTCCAGAAGAAAGTGATTCGGAGATTGAGAATGAAACTTTCAATGATTTTGAAATTTAGTTTATTTTGAAAATTTTATTTTGTTTGTTCCTTCATTTGAATGCTTCCTGTTATTGTTCTTATAAATTAACATAGAATTAACTAACCAGATGTTTCCTATACAATAGAGCTTTGTAAAGGATTCCTTAATTTTGAGTACTCACCATTTTGAGTTCATTAAGATGGTTCCGAGATATATTATTTTTTGCGTCCAGATATTTAATGACTCAAGCTTTACGTTGACCAGTTTATTTCGTGGAGCCCCACAGTATCATGTGGGATGTATGCTTGTAATGTTAAAGTATTCACGTTTTTCAAATTATCCTGGAGTTTAAATCATGAAGTTAAACGATATGAATATCAACCATTCATTTATATTTAGTTTATTTATATTTTTCCCACCGTAATACATTCATCAAAATAGATAATAAATACTTGCGAAAATATATTCTCTCGACATCGATAGTCGCACCATGCCATCAGCGATCATGGAATCCATTCACTTAAACACTCCGTAAAACCGAGTCTCCGCGTCTACCAATCACTCAAACTATGCGAATCTCGGTTCTCCATTACCAGCTCGTCGATTATGGCGCGCACGTCCGCCGATATTTCCGTATTACGTAGATCAAACCGTTGCAATGTTTTATTTTCGTAAATCCTTTCCATCAACCGTTCGCCCATGGCAGGTCCCAGTTTGTTGGAAGAGAAATCCAAAAATTTGATACTCGTATTGAAACGCAACATCATCAGCAGATACTCTTCGACCTCCTCGTCGATTGAGCAGCAACTTAGATTGAGCCTGTGCGGAAGGAAGAAAGAAAGCAAGGAAGCAATTTATCGGCGTGACGATAGATGGTTCTGCTTAGTTTAGTTAGTCGTAAAACATGGTTTCATTACTCTTTGAGCGGTAGATAGAATATCATCGTTAGCACGCCGATGGCACCCTCGGTGAGAATCGGGTTCAGGCGGAGGTCTATCTTCTCGATCGGTCGTCGACGAAACAGGTGCACCAAGTCGATGATGCTGTCGGAAGCTGAAATGGGAGAATATTGTATAGGTTAAGTTTAATATGCTTAAAATATTCCAGTGTTTGATTCAATTCTGTGACATTTTTAATTGGTCCGGTAAAATGCCTAAAATGGTCGTTTTTGATTTATTTATTAAGTTTCTAATATTTATTCACCCAAAAATACATCCATGTAATCCATGCTAATGAGCCAAACATCACAATTACTTAAATTCATTACTAAAGGCAAAACATCAATTTTATTCACCAAGAGTTTTTTAAAGCAGTTGTTTTGAGTTTCGTGTATTCGATTGCGTGTAATTGTGCTATGTTTCGAAGAATGCTAGTAAGTAAATACAGTGAATGTGTTTTATCCTGGAAATTTTAGTTCTAACAACATGACATAGGGGAAATGGATGTAATTTCGGCCTAAATGCGCCTAATTTGAGCCCATACATAAATTTATGAATCGACTAAATTTTCAATAGCGACCAAAAATATCCATTAATACCGTCCTAATGACGCGTTCATCTAGTTAAAATTGATACATTAGTAGTAGTCAACATTAGGGCCATTCCCCTACATGTTGTAAATTTTCGTATTAAAAATGTGTATGTATGGGTACACTTATGATGATGATTGAATGACATTTCAAAAAGAATAAGAATACAAATTTACTTTTTTTATTGGCTAACCCACATACCAAAAAGCTCTTTTGAGACCTCTGGTAGTGCACTCATCTAAAACTAAAAGAAAGGTATACATAAAAAAATAATACAATCAAATAAACATACACACTTAAAAACATCGATGTAAATTTAGGTGCTCTGAGACTGACATATACGAGCGTCAATTTTGACATTAAATTGAGTCATAAAAGACGCGAAATTCAGCTCAATCAAACGTACTTTCGAACTTTTCAGTCTCAGAGCACTTAATTTTACATGACATGTTTGTTTACGTCTCATTCTTTATGTCAAAGATTAGGTATTTCTGAGTGTGTATACTTCATTGGTGTGTGCACAAAAGTGATGAACACTAAACAAAAACTAACTAAGGAAGGGATGCCCAGTGTTCCTTTGAAGGGATCCCAGGAAAACGAAAAGAAAAAACATATTTTTTTTGTATGATTACATTTAATATTCAACAATATTTCAAATAACGCGTTGCATAACATTTATGGAGTGTAGGGTTTTCGATCTAATTTCTGTCCTACTAAGCACACACTAAGCTTTACCTCTTTTTTTTCTGAACGAGTTTAAACAAAAAAAGGAATATTTCTGTCAAAGATGATTTCTAAATTTATTCACCTTTTTATAAGTATCGTTAGATTTGAAAAAGAGTGACAAATTGTTGAGATATTGTTTAAAATCTAAGGCTGCTTCTTGATTCTATATTCGTTCTACGAGTTTCAATTCCGTCCTAACGCATTGAAACGCCATTAGATTTTCTTCGTCCTACGGATAAACGTAGAAAAAGGGGATTCGCTAGGAGCGCTTCTTCTGTTTTGAGAACAATGAGCGTAAATATTCATACAATGCGCTCTAACAGGATTTATGTTGTTGCTAATGAACTAACGCATCGGAACAATCCTATTATTGATTTGTGCATCTGATCTTTTCTGATCGATAGAACGGAAATAGGCGATTACGACGAATTAGCGCTCTACCCTAATTGGCAATTTATTATTATTGTTTTTGGCTGTTGATAAGATTTTATATCAAAAATGCATTGCTTTTAAATCAGTAATACTGTTTTAAACTGGTTTTGAATAATATTCTGTTGTTTATCAATTTCAATCGCTCTGGCAGTATGTTATATACAGAAGTGCCGTAAAAATATATTCGCATTTGCCCAAGACTACCGAAAGCTCTAGTTCTCACTAAATTATTTGCATATCTCGTACTGTGACCAGTGTTCGGAAAATCATTTTCAAATCCCATTCATTGAGCCTCTCTGAAAGAATAAACTTGCATTCGAATTTGGCAAGCAAAATTCATGCTTGAGATTCTCTTGCATATTTACGCACTCACACTCACAATGCCGTAAAATCATTCCAGCTTAAAAGAGAAACCGCTTAAAACTCAGTTGATAGCATGCTTATGTGTGTTGTGTTAGTTACAATAGTTACAACAATGGATAGTGTCAAAGTATAAAGCAATGAATTTTTGATCTTGAAAACTCATCTGTGATTTTTGCGCTATTGAATTTTGGAAGGCAAAACTCATAGACGCATAAACTCACACTTGAGTTTTTGAGTTTTTTCGAACAGTAGTTGTGACCTGTTGTGACCATGAGAATTGGATGGATCGCAGAAGGCTGCGCTTGAAAGCTGACGTGGGTTTCTTTTGCTGCGTGTTTTTCGTCAGCGAATTAAAAATGGTTTGCTTTAAATTTGTTAATTTGTGTGCTAAAATTTAGTTTCAAGTGTTCATAAAGTTATCATTTAATGATATATCGTGTTTTTCCTGTGTTTACCTTGAGTGACTCGGTTGTCCTTGAATCTAGGCTCCAAAATCTAAGACGCAGCTTCAATTTCATTATTCGGGGTCGGTTTTTATTGCCTCCCGGGAGCCCGGGAGCTGTTCTATTGAAAGATTCGTCACCGTGGGCGAGTTTGAACCCGGTCCGGTTAGAGAATTAACCCGGGAACGTGCTGATAATGTGCCCGTCGCGTGATTTGGTTGGCCGACGCACAGTGGGGCAGCGAAGCGTTTTGCATGGCCAAAACCTCTAACGCCGTTGTTTTGCTTTCTACAGCAATACAATGTTCTACAAAATTGCTCAATATTAAAAGCGCCATCTTATCATGTTTTACACACAAAGCAACATTTCAACAAAATTCAAAGAATTTACCATATGCAATATTCAAATGATGTAATATGAAAATTCCTGCAGTTGCCTGTTGATTTGTGGTCGTAATTTTACCCAACAAGGTCTACACTAATCACTAGAAAAAAATTAGCTGCTACTTTTTGCTATATTTTGAGTAATTGACATTTTTATGCATAACTTTTTTGAGACATTTATGTTAATAACTTTATAATAAAGCATTATATATGAAATAATTGGTATTTATTGGATGATTCAAACCATTTTCATAATTAGTAGAGTATAAAACTCATTTATTTGACGTGTATGGGTGAAAAAAAGGAAAAACGCAATTTTAGAGGCTAGTTTTCCTAATTGCCCGATATCTCGCTTAATGTGAGTCATAGAGTTTTGATGTTTCCAACAATATTTCTCAACACTTCAAATTACACAACTTTGCCGGATAAACCATTCGGCTAGGATGCTCCGCTCAAAAGATAGATTCGAGCGCCACCTATGTGTCATAAAAATGAACTAATATGAAACTTTCAAAAGATGGCGCTTTTAATATTGAGCAACTTTGTAGAACATTGAATCGCTGTAGAAAGCAAAACAACGGCGCTAGATGTTTTGGCCATGCGAATGGCTTCGCTGCCCCATTGTGCGACGTTGCCGTGAATCAGCAAGTTTTCCATTTACAAAAGTGCTCGGCTACTGGTCCCTCGCCGGTTCCGGACATTGCGAGCAATATGAAAGATACCTCGCTGGATACGCCCAAGACTGGACGGGTGGGAGCTGGTGGCGGCGAAAGGTTCCTGGGGAAAATACTAGACGCAAACCTCCTCCCAGATGACCATGGCAATGCATGGCAAATTGTGTTCATCGAAGGAAGTATTAATTAACATGGTGAGATCAGTCCAAATACTTTTTACAATAAAAAAACGAACAAACTAAATACGTGCCAGGCTTCAAAAGAACATTTTGAAACTGGAAGTGTGTGAGTGTGTAATACTAATATCCAATGGATAGAGGTAATACATACATACGGGGCTTATTGTAAGTGCAGGGCTGTTGCAACAGGCGCGGATATCGCGAATTTCGCGGATTTCGCGATTTTCGCGGATTTGTCGCGGATTTGAAGTTTCAGTCGCGAAAATCGCGGAAACATTAAATGATGTCGCGAAAATAGCGAATTGAATGATGTACTGTCACACAAATTGTGGAATTCATTGTAACCTTTCCGTCCCGTATTATTTAGCTGTCATCAATTTTGTTGTTCATTTGGCTTTCAATTTTTTACCGGTTCAAACTAAACACCCTGCAAATAATCTAGAAATGATCTTAATTCCATAAGTCATACCGGATTTACACGGAAATTCCCTGAGGTTTGTCCAATGTGAGACATTATCATGTTTTTTTTTTATTTCCAATATGAACATAGCATTTTTCGTTGTCAAATCATAAACGAATCGTATATATGCGAGTAATTGCCATGTATACCGGATATTCTAGATTCTCCAAACCGTCCTGGAGTTCAGTTGATTTGTTCTACTATATCAACCAAGACTGCAATAATGTCTGTAGTATCGAAATATGTCCAAACAGATTCAAAGTGTCTATGTGGATTGTACCCAACCTATTGCTACGTATACAAGATGTTATAGGTTCTGAAATCATTCTGGAGATCAGATTATTTTTCTACTTGATCATCCAAGACTAATTCAATATCTGTAGTATCGAAATATGCCCAAACAAATTTGCAGTGTCTATGTGGATCATGCCAACCTATTTCCGTGTATGCCAAATGTTCTAGGATTTCCAAATCGATATTTCGATACTACAGATATTATCCTAGTTTTTGTTGATCTAGTAAAACAAATCATCTGAAGTGCAGGACGATTTGGAGAACCTAGTCATCTGGTATACGTGAAAATAATTAAACATTATCCATATAGAGACTATGAATCCAAACAATATTTCAATACTACAGACTTTATCCCAGTCATGGTTGACCTAGTAGAATAAATCATCTGAACTCCAGAACAATTTGGAGAAATTAAAACATCTGGTATACATGGCAATAGTTCATGCATGATCCACATAGACACTGTGCATTTGTCTGGAAATATTTCGATACTAAAGACATTGTCCCAATCTCGGTTGATCTAATAGATCAAATTATCTGAACTCCAGGACGATTTGAAGAACCTACAACATCTGGATTACTCGGAAATAGATCATGCATGATCCACATAGACACTTTGAATCTGACTGGACATTTTTTGATACTACAGACATTATTGTAGTCTTGGTTGATTTAGTAGAACCATTCAAACTGATCAACTGATGTCCTGGACGATTTGGAAAACCTATAATTTCCGGTATACATAGTAATAAGTCGTTCATGATCCACACAGTCACATGAATACGATTCGGCAGACCCCAAGGAATATCCGTGTAGATACAGAACCGCGACGTGGCCAATAAGTGTGACTTATGAAACTCTGGCAATTTCTCGATTATGTGCAGGGTGTTTGGTTTGAATCGGTCAAAAATTGAGAAAACTAGAGCCAAATTAACTACAACATTTAGGACACCAAAATACGTCAGAGACGCAAAGGTTAACTTTCAAGAAAATTTGCATTTCAAATGAAAATACATAATTTTTTTAAATAATGTTTCATCAAATCTAGGCCGGTATTATTCAATAGAATCTCATAATGTAAGGGTGTTACATAATTACTCAGAATTTATACTATACATAAATTTTTTTTTTAAGTTTACAAACGATACTCCTTTAGCTCAGTTGGTAAAGACGCAGCTACAAAGCAGGTCCATGCTGGAGGCGACTGAGTTCGATTCCCGTCCGGTCTATTAATTTTTGGGGTTGGAAAATTGAGGATAGGATGGTACAGGTATAGAAAGCTCTCAATTAAAATGTGAAAGTTGAAGTACTAAGTTGAGAGAAGGCAAAAATCTGATATGCTATAAGCAATAAGCTTAAAATACCATGTAGTATTATACAAATGGTATTTTTAGGCAATGAAAACAGTTTTTTTTTTGTCGCGGATTAGTATTTGAAGTCGCGGATTTATTTTGAGGAATCGCGGATTTCGCGGATCGATTTTAGAAAATCTTGTAACAGCCCTGTAAGTGAAAGTAACCTCTAAATGGGCGTGACTCTCCAGACATTCTGAAATGGGTTGATGGATCTGCAATAGAGCTATCACCTTCTAACTCCCAGACTAAAGCTGTCTACAATAACCATAAATGCGACATTGTAGAGAGAGTTCTTCCATAACAACACTGCCGGCCAGTGGGGGTTAGAGGGAATACACACACACACACACTAGTTGTGACCATGAGAACTAATAGGCGAAACCAAATGATGATGCATGCTTGGATTTTTTATTATATCGTAAATAAATAAACATGATTATAGCTCACACAACCCCCGTACTGGTAAAGCATTGTGCATGACGTTAGTGTAGACAAGAAGTGTAGAATGTAAACGTGGAAGTAAATAAACAATTTTTAAACATCTATTTTGCAAAACTTGCAGTTTTTTTTAAGTTTATATTTACAGGCATGGCCCCATACGATGATCAGATATTGCAGATGAGCGAGTTTATGCACCCAAAATAAAATTTAAGCGGAGTGAAACTCCAGGAACAAAATGTCTAACTCGATACATTAAACCACAGAGTGATGAAATTTTACTTTGAATATGCTCAATATGACTACCCCACGAGAGCACAGAATCTATAACTAGACTAAGGTATTTGAATTTGAACACTTTTTCGACAATTGACAGACGGATTTGACGGATATATTTAATTTTCACCAAATTTAAAGATAATAAATTTGAATCAAATCGCAAATCATCATTCATGCCAGAAATAATGGGAGAAGTATCTTGATTTGGAAAGAAGATTGCTGTGTTATCAGCGAATTACCTTGGTATTCCTTTAAGAGGCAGATTCCCAAGATCGTATATGTAAATAAGGAATAAAAGAGATCCAATGTTACTGCCTTGAAGGACACCAATTTTAAACGTTCGTAAAGAGCTTCTTGAATCCTTGATAGCTACATATTGCTGCCAATTAGTTAAATAACTTTGAATAATGTCATTTGCTACCCCTCGTAGATTTGGTAGGAGGAGATGTTACCGGAGGAGTGGATGGAAGGTGTCGTATACCCAATCTACAAAAAGGGCGTCAAGTTGGATTGCTGCAACTACCGCGCGATCACACTGCTGAGCGCCGCCTACAAGGAACTCTCCCAAATTCAATGTCGCCGCCTGTCACCATTTGCAAGAGAGTTTGTGGGGCTATACCAGGTGGGATTCATGGGTGCCCGCGCTACCACGGACCAAATTTTCGCGATTCGGCAGGTTCTGCAGAAATGCCGCGAATACAACGTGCCCAAACATCATTTGTTCAGCGATTTAAAATCCGCAGACGACACATTCGATCGAGATCAGCTATGGCAGATTATGCACGAGTACGGATTTCCGGATAAACTGACGCGATTGGTCAAGGCGATGATGGATCGAGTGATGTGCGTTGTTCGAGTATCGGGGACACTCTCGAGTCATTTTGAATTTCGAAGGGGGTTACGGCAAGGTGATGTACTTTCGTGTCTGCTATTCAACATTGCGTTAGAAGATGTGATCAGAAGAGCAGGGCTAGACACGAGTGTCACGATCTTCAGGAAGTCCATCCAGCTTCTTGGCTTCGCCACTGACATCGACATGGTTACACGGCTAAAGATGTAAAAGACAAAAAGTGTATAGATAGGTCGAAAATTACAGGGATCAGACGCGTCACCGGATTTGAATATGGGAGTTACCTTTGCTATTTTGAGACACTCAGGATATGTACTTTGTTCTAGTATTTGATTGAAAAGGTGAACAAGAATGTCTGAAAACTTAGTTGCAATTCTTTTTATGACACTAGCAGGGAAATTATCAGGTCCACTGCTTTTTTTTACATTGAGTTCGTTTATAATTCCCGTCACTTCATTCACATTTGCATGTCTCAGAAAGACCGACCGTTCCAATCGAGTAACGTTGTTCAAAGGATTTCAGTTATTTTTCGGTATTTTATCAGCAAGGTTGGTTCCAACTTGGGGAAAAAAATATTGAAAATTTTACATACTTCTCAACCATTTTTCGTCAAAACAATACATTCTTTAGGTCCATTAATTTTGAGGGAAGAAACTACTAGCAAGTGATCACTCACGTCGGTATAAATAATATCATTTCTTATGCTTCCCAAATCATCATTACTACATACAAAATGATCCAAGATGTTTTTACTAATTGGTCGGGTTGCAAATGTATTTGAACAGACATAATTATAGGATTCTAATACGGTTTTATAGCGAACGACAACATTGTTAATTGATAAATTTATGGGAATATTCATATCACCAACAAAGAAACGATGACGCATGTTTTTAACCGATAATATGTTTTCAACTTCATCATGGAACCGGTTAAAATCAAAAGATGGCGGTCTGTATAGATCAAAACCATCAGTCGTAACGTAACCGTAGGAAACCAAAATTAATCGACTTGCCAACATAGGCTATCACATTTCTTTTGGTGGCACTCTTTAAGCAATTCGCTGTTTTTTTTGCTGTTTCGCGCGGCGTTCGGAACTCGCTCGGTTTTTAGAACTCACTTAGTATAGATATTTTATACTTAAATCCTTTAACTCGTTAATACGTTTATTCTATTTTATCAAGTGAATTATAAACTTTTCGCGGCTGTTGGATTTAACGTGGTCTACGGAGCTTACGGGATTCACAACTCAATACTGATTCAATCGGATTACTACGCGGATGTATTTATCTTTTGTCTCGTTAATGCGCACTCACGTCACAGATTTTTTTTTTTCAAAACTATGTTGAAACAATACACAAGAACTAGTGTTCAAACTGCCAACATAGGATAGTCCTTCTGTAGTATTGTCGAAAGATAGAAGCACAATTCTCACATGGGTCAAGTTTTGAAAAAATAAGCTGTCACGCAGCTTGACACCACACAAAAATCCTCATTTGATTTGAATTAGTAGGGGAAATGGGCCCATACATATATTCAACGATCGACTAAATTTTCAATAGCGACCAAAAATATCCATTAGTACCGTCCCAATGACGCGTTCATCTAGATAAAATTGATAAATAGTACACAGCAAAAAAATAATTTTGATATCACGTCAAAATGGATGCACTACAATCATGTCGAAAATATGGTGTAATATTACTTGCTAAAAAGGACAAAATTATCATTAATACAATGCATGAACTGACATTACGCTGCTTTTACTGCATTTGTTTATTTATGTGGTCATAAAAATTACATGAAATTTTCGACATGATTGTAGTGCATCCACTTTGATGTGATATCAAAATTATTTTTTTGCTGTGTAGATTTTTTGCGATGGGCCCAATCTTAGATCCATAGGCCAACATTAGAGCCATTTCCCCTACTTGTTAATTTTAGACACACTTTTACTACTTTTCGAAAATGTCTAAAATTTCTCTCGAAATTAAATATTGGTTGTTTGAAAGGCGCATCACGCTATTGTTTTTCCCAAAGTATACTCACACAGAAAATTGTTCGTGAGAACCACTTCCTTAATGTTCGGCAGCGACTCGGGCGAAAGCGCATCAAAGAATGCCCGAACACCCACATCACCGCACCGGCAGTGTGGAAATGCTATCGTAGTTAAATTTGGACATCCCTTGTCCATGGCAGCCGCCAGCCGTCTCATCATCATCGGTTCCAGTTTGGTACTATGCAGACGAAATTCCGTAAGCTCGTAGCACCGTTCGATGCCTTGCGTCATAAATTTGATGTCCTTTTCCGTGATGGATCCACATCCGAGGTAGAAATTATGACCAGCGTTTTTCACATCGTATGTAATATCAACCTTTCGGAGCTCCCGCAAATTCGACAGTACTAAATCTAGCGGGATGTGATCCGTGTTGTCGTTGGTCGAAGGCTGCAGCTGATCCAACTTTAGTTCTTTCACATGCAGTGAACACAGATCTACCAACTTTTGAACACTCTCCTGATCGTAGTCGTTCGGTTTCATACGTTCCAACGTTTCCTTTACGTGCTGTTCCAAATAAACACGAATCCAAGGCTTTCCATCCACATTCACCGGATAGTAGTTTCTCCATCTGTTCACGAAAGCACGTTTCCAGAAAGCATCGCTCCTTATCCTAGCGCACAAATTTTCCAGCGGAAAATTCAGATCCAGCAAATCCAGCAGAAAATGTCTATCCTCACAAAGTGGGATCTGTCGGAAAAACGGAACCGACAGCCAGTTGTTCGCGATAGTGTTCAGACATAGCGTTTTCAGCGGCTCGGGATTGCACGTATCCCACTCGAGATTGATGCCATCCACCTGCCGGTTCTCGTCACGTGACAAGTGTCGTGAACAAAAGTACGCACGGTAGGTGTTGAAATCCAAAGTGTTGGGGAATTTCATCTCTTGTATCGCGCACAGGACCGAGAAGTGTAAGAACGCGAATTATTTCGAATATTTCCTTCTATCGGAGAAAGTCGCGTTTGATCAATGCCGTTGTCGGGTGCCAACTGAAAATGCGCGTTACTCCACACACACAGGACACACGACACGACACAGCACAGAGCGACGACATTCGAGCGTGTGATGCGATTTTTGGCTTTCTTGGAAAATAAATCTGAGTTCAGCGAATTTCGGTACAATATGCCAACGGTGGTAAGGAGAGCATTTGGCGGGGTTGAGTGGGTTTTTGGGTTTTTATTATTTTTATTTTGGTTCCCAGTGGCAACCAGAGACAGGGCGGCGTTTGTTTATTTTTAAAAACTTGTACTAGTCGGTTGATGTTTTGTTTATGTGCGAATTTATCGGTGGCGTTCAATTTCGTCTTTTTCTACACTGTTGTGGCTTTATATGTATCTAAATTTAGAGTTATTATGAACTTTTATTAGTTGTGCTGATCCTGTTTTCTTTTTTTCTTTTCCGTTGCAGTTGGATAGGCGGAGGGTAGCGTATAATTCAAGTAAGTAATGTATGAACTGTTTTGGCACGAACATCTGTTTAATTAGATGAATGTTGTCGGCTCGAAGTCGAACGTGAAAACACGCGTCTGGTGGCACCTGTTTTGTGTAGATCAAGGTCAGTTAAGATTTGAGATGGTTAATGGTTTTTCATTGTCCATTGGGCGGATAATCCCATAAAATTTGGAAAATCATTTCGACTTTATAGTCTAGTTAGTGCAAATTTTACGCATAATGTCAAAGTTTCTAACGCAACAGAAGTCACCAAACATTAAACATTGTTTATACAATCAGAAAAAATAATAAAAATTTCGTTCTAAGCGACCCGGGTTTCAATTCTATTTCAAGATCAACTAATCATCTTCCTAGTAATAAAAAAAATAGAAATCTGTGTTCTTTTGGACACTTCAGGTACAGGCAGGCTTCAGCATGTTCGTATGAAATCAATAAAGTAGTTAATAATTACATGTACACGCTAAAATACAAGCCATACATATATTAAGTTTACCCAGATTGGGCAAAAAGCGCTAAAATGAAATTTTTTTTATCCCAAATATGGGTAAATAGTCCATATATGAGATAGTTTTATGCAAATTTGACTTAAATTTATCTATTTTTGGGTTAATTTTTTTCCAATATATAGGTCCCTCCCCATGGACATGGAGGTTGACGGTACTGAAGCAAAGGGTTATGTTTAATTTCTTTATATTTGCAACGATGATGATTTCCCATAGGTACACATATCACCTTCTTAATGCTTCAGTATACCTCAAACGATTAATTCTTGGTTGTTAATAGAACTTCCTTGATGCAATCGGCTGCTTCATGCAGACTGAGCAATTCTGATTATAGTATCAGATTTGTTCTGTATACAGAGGAACTGGGAGGGCTTATTAGAAACTTCTCACCAATAAAGTAATGACCTTCTAGTAAATTTTGCATATCATTTTATTAATATTTTATTTTATTTAAGCATATTATTTTTGTTACAGTCAATTAGCATTAGCATACAATACAAGAGATTTAATATTACTTGCTCGGTTTTGCGTAAAATAATCAATATGTATTTTGTTGTAATTACCTTTGATTTTTTTTTTGTGATTTCAACATTTTCCTAGTTTGGTTAGAAGTTTCGAAGCTAACACATGTCCACAGGCCTAATAGAAAGATAGACAGACAAAGCGTATCATGAAGAATAGTTGCATGCAGGGTTGCTTCCACTCACTTTCTATAGATGAGTGATTTTCGGAGTTTTGAATTCGTTAGATGTTGTAATGGGGGTTTGTGTTGTTGGATGCGGGAGGAGATTGGAGGGCGGGTGTTTGACGCATAGAGCCTGTCAATTTCGCTTTCAGAGTGTCGCAGTCGGCGGTTTTATGATTCGTGAGCGCTCGCGATTCGTAGAATCGTTGATTGTGACTGCCAGTGGATTTGGCGGGTTTTGTGTGTCGGACGCTTGCTTTTTGGCCTTTTCTTGTGTCTAACATGTGCAGAGTATCATTATAGCGTCTAATGGTTTTGAGATTCCTGGTTGCGTGAAATATACTTGTGAGAATATCTTTTTGAGATTTTAGTAGTCACGTTTTGTTTGTAGTTTATATGTTATTTCTTTCATGTAATTATCGTAAATAATAGTTATTCAATAATAGATAATTCATCCATATATTCAATAATAACGTTACCAATGACTATAATTTGGATACCTAACAATTGGACAGAATCACTAGCAAGAATAGGTTGTGTTCGCCTTCGAAAATATCGATTCGTTTTTTCAGGGTTGTAGTTTTGGTTTTCATCAGTGGCCCGGCTCTGATTGTGAACGATTTAGGTAGTATTTTTAGGTAACTATTTAGCTTTTAGCACAACTTTGCTACTACGAATCCACAAAAGACATTAAATTGGAGGCGGATTCTGGTACGGAATTACAGGCTGCTATTCTGAGCAACTTATCTTCATAAAATTAAAAATTACATTTAGGTATTAATTAGCAAATATGAATAGTAGTTAACTTTAATATAATTTTGATAAAACAATAATTTCATCCAGTTCACTTTAAAACAAACAAGTATGAAAGGAGATTGCTTAGAATAAAGATAAAAGTAATAAGCGCAATATTAAACGACATTAAATTTGAATCTGATACGGTAGGCCATATAACAGAGTCGATAGCCATTGCAAATCAACCATCTCTACCTGCTTATTTTCCTAACATTCACTATTATTGCTGTTACTCTGACTATCCCCTATGTTCAACAGTTTTCCTTACTATCCGGTATCGTAAACAGGATTCATTTGACCCCTGTGGTTATTATTCTGTGATGCCAAATCTATACCTCTACCCTGGTGCAGTATGGACAGCGATTTTTCGCTGGTGACTTGGCCCTATGACCCCCTTCTGTGCTTGAAAATGAAAATATAAATGAAAATGAATTTTTTTTTTTTCCAATATATAGGTTTATCCGCATTATGCCCAAGCTGGGTAAACTTTATCTCTATATATGGCTTATCTGATCTTAGCGTATAGTGTGTAATGAGAATAATATAAACGACCAAATTTGATTGTAAAAATGTTCGTCATATAGCCAACAAAACACAGTTGGGCTACTTAAGTCACATGCCAAATTTTCAACTGTTTGATAATTAAATGGTGAAAATCAATGGATTCCATAAAATCTTTCCAAAAATATATGTTTACGAAAATATAGGAAAGTCCCACTGTCAGGATCATACATCGAGCAGTTACGAAGCGAACAAGATTTCTATTAAGCTGTAAAATATCTTCAGGACAATTATATATATCTTAGCAACTCAACTTTGTATCCCACAAAATGTTGTTTGGCTTATATAACTTCAAGATCTTAATTCCAGGAAGATTTTTTTCTAACATACCAAAACTACTTTTAGGCTTATTTTTTGCAGGAGGCTCTTTGATTTTATACGAATTCATGATTCCTTGGGGTTTTTGAGATCTAGATGATCAAAATGTTAATGCAAATTTCATTTCATATTTTTTCTACAAAGTAGACGTATTGTAGAATAATTCTGCTGAAATAAATATATGATTATTAGACTGATGCAAAATTTGACTTTTTCGCTCCACAGTGCTTAAATGGTTTCAAATCGGGTCCGGATTAGCCTCCCAACTCATTTGGCTAGAAACAGACTTCGCACAAGCCATTTGAAGTTTACATGTAAATTACTATGGGAAATCTCAACTTTTTGTTCATTGCCTTCTAGTCTTTTTCCATATTGAGCTGCGAAACAGTTCGATAGCCATTCTTATAGAAAATTTTCTCAGCTACAACTTTGCTTCGTTTCTATGTAAAACGAGACAGGAAAAAGTTATTAATTTGTTAAGAGATTGGTAAACTTATGACATGATCAAGCAGCTGCTCTGTAGGCAACACTGTATTTTGCAGTGTGACATAGTAGCCATGATTTTTGTGTCCTATATTCAACGCCCCAGAAACACCAATGTTGCCTGTTCAGCAGTTGATTGAGCATGATCATAAGACATCAGCGCATTGAACCATTGATAACTTTCGATCCTTGCATTTAATTAAAAAGTGGTCTTCAGCAAAGTTGTAGCTGGAAAAATTTCCTACAGTAACAGTTGAAGCAGACGGATATGGTGAATTATTAGATAGACATGAACAAAAATCTTGGTTTTACCATAGTAATTCCCATACAAACTTCAAATGGTTTGTGCCATCTCAGTTTCTCACCAAATGGGTTCAAATTTTGAGAGGTTAGTCAGGATCCGATTTGGAATCGTTTAAGTATTGTGGAGCGAAAATTTCAAATTTTGCATCACTCTAATGATTATCTAGAAATGGTTATTTTTGAACGCCTTTTTTGTTTAAAGCAGCGGTGATGTATGGGTTGTTTTTTAAATATTTAAATTGATTTGAATGGTAATCTTGATTAAGTGAAGAGGAATTGTAAAAATTTTGTAGTGGAATCGTAAATTGATAGCGTGACGGTGACAAAATGGATTCCCACGCTGGCGAATAGTGGAGTGCCGAAGGACAGCAGTTTTTGAAGTAAGATTACGTCTTTCGGCAACATATTGGGGGTGCAATTTAAAAAAACAAGAATCGACCGCATTACGAAAAGTGGTCAGGTTTTGACCGCATATAACTCTGTCAATAGTGGATGAATTTCAATTCTAAACAAACATATCGATTGGAAATGTTTCTACGAATCTGCTAAAATCAACACTTTATTAATTTTCAATAGGTCACTATTGAAAATTACACAAATGTCCAACAGTTGCAATAGTGAACAAAATTATCATCGATTGCCTAAAAAAAACCGTTTTCCCTAACACAGATTTCAAAATAGAATTCCATCCGGTCTCATTGAACGATGCTTATTCAATCACCGTGTGTGGTGTTAACCGGTCGGTCGTCATCAGTAGTAGCAGTGCTTTCGGTGCGTAGCGTTGAACATTGTTCTCCAAT